CTGCACCACTAGAAGCCAACTCCATCGATCAAGCTGGCTGAAACTTTCTCTCCCTCTTCTTCTCATGCTCCCTGTCACTCTCCTTTAACTCCTCCGGTGACTTTTTTTTATTTGAAGATTGTTTTTTGCCTGGCGCTTGGCCGGTTACCGCTGGTATTAAAAACATTTTTGGCGAATGGTTAGGTGGCGCGATAGTCTATAGTGAAGGAGCGCGCTCCCGCTCACGGGAGCCTGCTCGCGCTGCGCTCCGCAGCAAACAGCTGTTTGCTTTTCACCCAACAACGACAACCGACTCACGGAACGCTATGTTGTAGCGTTAATAAACAAAACAATCTAACTAAATTGCTAGTCAAAATACCAATACCACAGGACTATTTTTTTAAAGCAATATTTTTAGTGGCCCGAGCGGGCAAGTGGAAAGTACGTTATGCTGGCCCGGGGTGTCTAAATAATTCTTCCGGGCCAGCGGGCCATTTAATGTCGAGCCCTGCCGGTTACCGGCATCGTCGACATCGTCCGACCGGCCCACTTCAGTACCGGCCCATCGGGATTCGTCCCGAACGTCCCGATGGCCAGTCCGCCCCTGGATGAGAGAGAACATAGGGGCACAGTGCAGAGCTCCCGGTAGCTTCTCTTTTAAATCTTCTTTCAGCGTTCAGGTGTTACTTGTTATCTATTAAATATGTGTCACATTGTCTTCAGTTGTTTAGGGCTAGGTTTAAGACTTTCTCAATTCAATTTGCTTTAAAGGGGCCCTATTATGCTCATTGTCAGGTTCATATTTGTATGTTGTGCCTCTACTGTGACATGTCTGCATGCTTCAATGTTCAAAAAGCTCTTTATTTTTCTCATACTGCCTGTGCTGCAGCACCTCTTTTCACCCTCTGTCTGAAAACAGATCTTGTGATTGGTCAACCGCTCAGAGATGGTCCTGCTCCTTAGCTTATCACGAACAATGTGTTGAAGCACTAGCGAATAGAAGGGCGAGTGTCACATAGTAATGTCACGATGTTGAGGAAGTAAAGAAAGGACTGCAATTGAGGCGTTTCAATAGCAATATAATTGGCCTTTTTGCAGGAACTCAAGTACCTACTCAAGGGTAATTAGGCTCTACCAAAGTTGTCAAATGTCTCCAATTCTTCATGTCATTTTTCATGGACATGGACTTATGTCATCATAATATTGGTTGAAGTGGTTGTACATAGCTTAAGTAAGCTCCAATAATTAGATTTTACACAAAGGAAAGATGATTTGATCATGATATAAAAAATGTTGTCATGTGATGTTAAAGATGTGCACAATATGACTGGGGATATGATCTAAATGGTTTAAAAGTGCCTTTTTTTTATTTATTCTTGTCTTAAGCCAAGAGCAGTAATCATCTGACATTGCTATCACTTTTTAAACATTACAAAAATAAAGAAGAAATAAAAACAGCAGTTGCCCAAATATCTAACTGAATGGTATACATTCTTTTTGTTTAATTAAATATATTGAAAGTAATTTCCCTTAAAAAAGCCACAAGAGTTTACTTCAGTACACTTCCAAGTTGAGCAGGAAAACAATTGGCACGCAGAAACAAGGCTCCCTTTGTGACTTATTAAGGGCAGCAGTATAGACATGGTGGACAAAGAAAGTTACTGTTTTGTTGTGTTACTGTAAACATTGTGTTGCATCAAATCATACTGCTGGATTATTCTGTTCTGTCCACTTTGTCACTGATACTTTGTTTCCTCCACTCATTAAAGTCATTTGTACATTTGGCATCTATCCCCCTCTTCCCTTCATTTCAGTGTGTATCTATGAGGTCTGCATATGCATGATGCCCTGGTGCTGTTGGCCTCTAATTAAAGTATACAAGACAAACGTCATGTAAGCTGTTGCAATGTGCTGGCCATTATGGGGTGTGTTCCCCCTTTCATTTCTGTTTATATAGCATTCCAGAGAGCCTCTTCTTTCTTGTTTGATACAAACCTGACATGTTTCCAGCAGTGGAATTAAGACTGGGCTGTAAACTGTGCTGGGGATACATTTAGTGAATTGTTTACCTTTTTTATTGTTAACTTTTTATTGCAGGGCTTGGAAAGAAAGCTATAATCTCTGTGCGAACACTAAATCTTCTCTTCCACGTCTTCTCTTTCTTGCTGTTTCTGCCTCTTCTTGTATATATTTCTCATTTAGTCATTAAAGTGTTTCCCTCTTCTACTCACTCTGTCTTCCTCTCTTCTCTGTTATTTGGTAGCCACAGCATTTTTAAGCCCTTTATGTTTGTCTGTGTTATCATTTTGGTTGCTGATTATAGCCTTCTCAACTCTATTTTATTTTTTTTACTTTCACATCCGATTTCAGTGATGTTACTCTGTTTGAACTTCTGTCCCCTTCTATTTCTAAACCTGACTCCTTTGCTTTCCCCCTTATGAGGTAAGATATATACTAAACGATTCCGGTAGTCAGTTAGTAGTCAAAATGCTGAAAGATGGAAAACAACACTGAACTTCTGTTTTGCCGCCCTTGCTTCCTCTCCTCTTCCTTTCATCTCTAACTTGGTTAACCATTTTCAATTTCCCATGAACTGACCTTTCTACTTCTGTGTTCATTTTATTATCCTTATCCTTCCTCTCATTTCCTACCATCTTCACCATGGCACCAACCGTGGCGAAAACCACACAATGATAAATAAACTTTGATCTAAATGCAAGATCAGAAGATGTAAATGGACAAAAAGAAATCCAAATAGTTTTCTCCTTTGTCTTCCGCTCCTTTTCTTTTTTTCCCTTTGCAAAAACCAAAACATGCGCCTTCCAGCTGGGCGTGTTGCGTGTAAAGGAAAGTTAATTAGCCCAAAGTGGCTGAACAAGCCTACCAGCTAATGGTGTCCGTTTACAGCAAAGTGAACCAAACCCCAGCAAACGAGTGAACGGGGCACTGCTGTGACCGCCGCTTGAGCCGGTCAACTTGAATTGGACTCACCTGGGAAGCAGGATTTATTCCAGCTTGATTCTCTCAGATTTACTGCTTTAATTGAATGACTGACCCATGGTCACGGACACGGGTTAAAAAGCTTCCCTGAAGTCTTGAAAGGAATAGCAGTGAGTGGACATGTGGTCACTGAAACGGAAAATTGTTTGAACTCTGGAAACATTGTTTTATGTCCAGTATGGGATTTGGAGTACTACCTGATTTCATGCTGTTTCCTCTCGCTGTTGTGTAACACATTTAGTTTTGGCTGTCCATGGAGGAGGTCAATGCTTAGAGGTATGGACACTCTGTACTATGCATCTCTATTATACTATAGATGGGTTTGAAGATGTGAAGTCTCTGAATGTGACAAGTGCACAGTTTAAGGTTAACCATTCTTGGTGTTGTTTGATCCTGTCATTTTTAAATGTGCTTGATTATTAACAGGGTGATATAGTAATATATCTCCACAGGGGAAATGGTCAACAGGGAGTGAGTGCAGGAGGATGTAACATAATTAATAGTAGACCACATGGTCTTTTTCTGATGAAGACCATTTTAAATAGTCAAAAGTCCTAAATCAAGCCAGTAGGTTGATTGGAGATTGTTTTGTCTATTTCTATCTTAAAGGTCAAGAAATGTCACGCTTATCTTGTAAGCCAATCTGGACGAGTCCTATAAATATATTCCATAAAGAAATATAACTAATGGAAGTGTGACGCAGGGAACTGCGTCACTATGGACTGATGGCTTTGGGCCGGGTGATTGTGCGCACCTGGGGTCCTGGGTTGTCCCTCCCCCCTCACCTGTGTCTAATTGTTTTCCCTCACCTGTGTTTGATTCCTCTGTGTATTTAAGCGCTGTCTTTTGTTGTGCTGGAGTCAGGGTGTGTGAGATCCTGGTGGCAGCAGGCTGGGCTCGCGTGAACAGCAGCAGGATTAAGGCTGTGTGAACTTTGTGCACATTGTTTTAATAAATGCCCACGTCGGGTTATATTTTTGGACGTTCTGCCTCTGCCTCCTTGCTTGGTCGGGCCGCTCAATGGTCAGTCTCACAGGAAGATTGACATGGTTGCAGCAGAATATAAAAGATGGGCATATTACTAAACACACAGCTAAACGTTATGGCATTTATCATGCAGCCTGAGCAACACATTAACATAATACTCTGAGCTTCCCAATCAGCTTTGTCCAAATCCCCATTCCAGTAATTCAGTATATTTCTTTAAACTTCATGTATATCTCTATTCAGCTCCAGATATAAATTAATTATATTTGGAATAATAAATTACATTCTGAGGAATGTTGGTAAAAGTACACGCTCTCTGGCAATGTCTAAATGGGCTTGTATGCTACCATATTTAGACCAAACAAGACCCCAGTAAAACCATCTCAAAACACTTATGACATAATACATGTCATGAACCGTTGGCATGTTTACTAGGATAATTAAAGGCCTGACAACACACTTCTGTCCAATGCTGCTTGCTGTCGATATATTTCCTAAAATAAAGTAAATTCACAAATCAGTGTCAGGAGCTGATAAGATCATAATAGTTGTTCTTAGCAGGATACTCGGATATTCGCTAACCCATAACTGAAATATAATCCCTCATAAATCTGCCTGGGAAACTGTAGGCTGCTGTCTTCTTGTAAATGTGACCGCAGTCAATCCCCTCATCACTTTTTAGTGACATGTATGTGAGCCACTGTGTGTGTGTGTGGCTGTGTGTCTCTGTGTGTGGTGGCTAGGGGAAGTTGAGTGGCACTCTGGTTTCCTTTCCTCAGCTCTATAAAAGCTGGGAGACCATTTGTTAACTGTCAGTTGGTTAGCCTCTGTCCCCACTCTAACCCTAAATAAAAACCACTGGACATCCGTACCAGCTTTGAGAAGGTGAACCACACTGTTGTACCTTCACCATCTGCAGGCTGGATCATTTTATGACGTTTGGTGGTTTCTTTGATCTGAAATGCTTTCTCAACATCAAACTAACCCAGTCCACAGGCCAGTTTCTGAATATTTAAACATCACAATGAAAACTGATTCACATCCGCATTTGTTTAAAAAAAAACATGATGTCCGCCCTGTGGATATCTTTTGTGTATTGTGCTCATTAACAAACATGTGCTTTAGGATTACTTCTGGTCAAAACCAAATGATGTCAGTGGGTAGGGAAATTGATTTAGTTCTCAATACATAAATGTTACTCGTTGTCTGTAATAGTTAAATGTTTGTATACCACATTTCTTTCCTTATGCAAGATGTTCATATTTTAGGATTATGGATGGAAACCACCAGCTGCATTGAGTACATCAATCTTTAAACTTCTAGGAATGTACAGTAGACATGATTTGTTGTGTATGCGCTAACACATGCAAAACCAACTGCATTGCCATGATGACACTTAAATATATCAATCAGTAAATTAGGGGGCAGGGGTACTACAGCTGGACTCATGCTAAATGTTCTATCCAATTCAAACTTCCAACCTCAGAACATGACTTGGGATTTATGCTGGCTTCCTAAAATATTGCATGGCTATAGTCCCATGGTGTCGAACCAACTAAAGCTGGGTTTTGTTCAGCAACTGTTCGTCTTGTTAACCCTGGACTTCCTCCACAGCTGTTCTGTCCCAAACAAAAGACAAGTGAACACATTCTTAGATAAACACTTTGTAACTCTGAACAGTGATACGAGAGTGATTAAACACAATGCAACCCTTAAAACTGAGGGGAACTCTGCAGTGTACACAATTATGAAAGTGGCAAAGTAATTCAACTAATCTGAAATGAATCAATTGAAATGTACTGAGGTATTTAAATTACATCCTGTACAGAGACGGTTGAGATAAGATGAGATAGAGCAACATCACAGGTGGATAGGAAAGTAAAACTTATAGTGTTGTGGCTAAAGCTACCACAAACCTTTTTAATCTGTTAAGCATTATCTTCATCTGGTAAATAAAATAAAGTACATATACCTGATAGCTGCTTTTAACTGGCTTGGTTGATTGACTAAGGATTGGTACCAGCAACCAGCATGATTGCTATCTTTGGGGCCAGCAATGTCTGTTGTTGGGGCCACCAGTTTTGAATGGATGGATTGCCATGACATTTTTGTAAAAACATTAATGTTCCCCAGAGGAGGAATCCTACAGATTTTAGGGATCCCCTTACATGTCCCAGAGCACTACCTGATGACCACCGATGACATTTCTAATATTTTTTGTTTATATTAAATATCAATTAGGGAAGAGATACCAGAAAGAGGAAGGGTGTGAGGTGCAGCAGGAGTCAGAGGTCATGCGCAGTACTTGTTATTGGGTGGTCTGACAGTATAAGGAATCCAAATGACTCAATAAGAGCTCATCCTTGGGGGGATTCCGGGCTAATGAAAGTAAGTGCAAAATGAGCAACCAAGAGAGAACATGAAGAACAACTTGACCATGGATGTGCATATGTGCGCATGGTGATGTCATCTTGATATGAAGGGTCACAGCAGTTAAAACACCAGTGAATGTGTCACGTCCTGTAACACAAACACACCCCCTTTCTCAGGTGGAGAAAGGGATATGTTATTTTAACTGCTTTTGATGACATGACCTTTCACCATATGCTAAAGCGTGACATTATAATACTCAAATGGCCAATTTCTTCAACACTGGCTTACCACAAACTGCATCGGTGTAAAATAAAGGAAAGTATTGCTGACATAGCTTACATTTATGTTTGAGATATTCACGGAGATCTAAGATAAAGTATGGAGCTGTTTCTTCCACGTGAAAATAGCCATTTTTTTATCTCACCTGTTGAAATCTCGATAAGTGCTTATTACGCCTATGCGGCTAAGGGAATATGTTACCATTTACAAACCCCCAACCCCTGTGCAGCTAAGTGGACTGACGGACTAACTGTGGGGGCTTTGTTTCAGTCTGTGAGTGTGTGTGCTTATGTCTTAAAACAGACAGCCAGTCTGTCTTGGTGGTGGCCCATTATGGAAAAAGACAGCGGGAGGTTAGGTACACACACATATACAAACACAGACGCTGATACACATGTGCATCCATGCACTTATTCACTTTTTTGTCTTACACACAGGCAGCCTGATCAGAAAAGCTACTGGAGGTAATTGTGTCAGGGACGTAGTGTGTAGGAAGCAGAGCGAATGAGAGCAAGCTGCAAAGAGAGACCAGGGGAGGCAGCGAGGTGGAGACAGAGAGAGCTAGAGGGGGCTGCACACTAATTGGAGCCAAATGGGCAGCAGATGAACTGAAGTGGTTTGCTATGTGGCCTGGACACTCTTCCTCTCACACACACTCTTTCTTCATTGCTCCTTCTCTGTATGTCTTTCCCATTATATTTACATCTATATTTCCTCCTTTGTTCTCTCTTCAAATGAGGTATGCTGACATTTATCACAGAGCTTTAAAGAACTTCAACCCATACACAATACTCACTTTGGGGCAATTCAACATATTATCAGCTTATAAAGGTCAAATGAACGTAAGTGAAGGCAGTCCACAAAGAGACACAGCTACATTAGCATTTGTCTTTTTTACTTTTTACTTTACTTTTTTCTTCCTTTATTTAGCCGTGTTTTTCAGATAACACATATTATGGTAGCTTTATTTATTGACAACTGTGGTGATTTGCTGTAAATGTGGAAAAATGAATCCCAAACTTCTCTGTAAAAGTTTTTGGTTTTATCATTTTAAATATAAATCTTCTAGTTTTATTCTTGAATAATTCAAGTTTTATTATCTTAGGTAGTCCATTGGGTGAAATAAACGGGTAAGGCTTGATGTAATATTGCCATATTTATTCCAAAATATGAAGCAATCCAAAAACATATTTTAGAATATAAATGCTTGTTAACCTGCTTATAAAGAAGGGTAAACGACAAGTGAATTATGTCGATTGTACAAGAAGTGACATCTAAATGTCTCTCCCAGTGTCTGGGTTTCATTTACAAAATACGATATCATCTGTTTTGCTTTTATGATAAGAATTTCTTAAACACACATAGCAAGCAAGCAGAGGAGGTACGGCAAGATGTGTTTTTTGTTAAGCCAAAGAAATAAGAAGGAGTAAAAACAGAAACATGAACATGTGAGGAGAGAGAAAAGAGGAACCCAGGGGCAACAGTGCTTAACACAAGACTTAAATAAGGGGTTGTGAAAACAGTCAAATCAGAGAGTTAGTGAAATATTTGACATGTCTGTTTTAAAGTTATGAAAGTGGAGTTGAAACAGGATTTCCTATGAGCTTGGGCTTTCAGCAAAGCACTTAGACTCTTTATCTTAGCTCCCCTAAATCTCTTCTGACTTAACGTATAACATTACAACTTTCTGTAAACCGCTTTAGCCTTACAGTAACCTATCATCAACCAGAAGGATGGCCGGCAGTATGAGAAAGAGATTTAGGTCAGAGATCGCAATAGCATTGTGTTCGCATTTACAATTGTGTAGAAATGTTTGACACGTGTGTGCACGCATGTTAGTGTGCTTTCATGGGTTTCTAATGAAATTCAACACATGAAACAAAGCCCTTAACATGGTAAGAATGTGAGTAATTGTGTTGATCCAATTAGCTGCTGGCCTGCAGTGTCAGAGCCAATCAGGGCACAGAACGCCATGGGGTTGTAGGAGAAACCAAAGACCAAATACTAATTAGCCCACTAGCTTTTAATTCTAGCAGGCTCTGTGTGATGAAGAAGAACAGGCACCAGTACATGCAGACACATTAATAACCTTTAATACTTCCTCTTTTACAGACAGGCACAGTGGAAGCAGTAAGTGTGCACTCACAGCAGGCAGAAACTGTGTGATTTCTGTCAAGCACGCACAATCCCCCTGTTAATGCCTGATTGGATGATGAAGGTGAACAGTGGAGTGCAGCACCAAATATAACACAACATCTATACACAAAAGTAACTGATATCAAAGACTGACCAATTCTGTGTGTGTCTGAGTCACCCTTCAGGTACACTGTGCTTTCAAGTGATTGGTTTCAGTCAAATGTCAGGGCATGCCTGTTGGCAACTATGACCACTTTTGTTGTGTTGAATAAAAAGAAAAAATATTATTTAGTAATCTAGAAAGTAATCTAACCCACACCGAAAGACATAAGTGTGAACCAGACATCTGACAACTGTTGTACTAATCCTGTTCTGTGTGTTCCAAAAAGATACATTGTTTTTTGGGTACTGTGATATCCTAAACCTACATGAATTATAGCTGTTTATTTTTGGTTTTCAACAACAGTTACTATGCTTAGCTATGATAATGTTGAGATAAATAACTTCCAATGGTCCAATCAGAAGACTGGCTTTGATAGACCAATCAAATTACCTGTTTTAATGGGCCAATCCAAAGGTTTGTTTTAACGTGCCAGTACAGAATGAGGGCTTGTTTCAATGGTCCGATCAAATTGCTTGTTTCAAAGGGCCTTTAAGAGTGCTTGTTTTAATGGGATAATCAGAGCGCTTGATTCAATGGACCAATAAGAGGCATGTTGTCTCATTTAAAAGGGACCTATCATGCAAAATGCACTTTGTGATGTCTTTTGTACATACATGTAACTCACGCAGCGTCAGAAAATAAAACCCTCTCTCTTTTCCTCCATACCCAAATCCTTTAAAAATGGGTGTACAACAAGCAGATACAGATTTCCATCCGAACTGACGTCAAATCGGTGGCGGACCCACAGAAAGTTGCTATCAGAAACAATGCCTGACGTGTTTTGGACATCTTTGTTTACATTAGCAAGCCTCGCTAACACTCAGAGCTAACCTGTAAGTGCAGCCTTTACATGTTCATAATTTAACTGTAATATGTATTTTCTAAGTGTACTAATTATTATTGTTGTAATGTTTCATGCGTGCAATATTTCGTCTTTTATTTTGAAGTCCAAGCTCACGTCTCGTTATGCTGTTCTCGCGTGAGTTAGAGAGCGAGAACATGAGAAGCACGCTCAAAGTAAGATGCACGGATACTTTACAGCTCCGTTAGTTTTGTTATTCTTATACATATAATTATGGTGAAGAGAACTGAAGAATACTTTCCCGTCTGTTTACAGAGCATGCAGCCCAACGAGGTATGTTGTTGTGCTTGTATACCCTTTTATGTTTATTAACCTTTCTAGTCCATCTCACATGCTGTGCATGCGTATTGTGTGTCTAACACAAAACTATGTTTTTCATTTATACTGTTTGTTTGTGTAGTTTTCACGGTGGATTCGGAGGAATAAACCCGTAATGACAAAGCCACTCGTGTTTAAAAAGCAGGAAATAAAAAAAGAACTCACCTTGTGATAAACCCGCAAGAGAAAAAGCATTTGAGCTCCATACTATTTCAGAAATAATCCTTGACGTGGTTTAAACAGGATGGCAGTTTATCACAACTTAATTTTACTTTATCTCCGGTAGAATTCTGATCAGGCATTAGCTCCGCCTCCTCTTATTTATGTTTTTCAAGCTAAGGACCCAAAATCTGCCTTTCTCTAACAGGGCAGCAAAAGAGGGGTTTTAGAAATATGAGGTATGGCTACAATGGGTGATCTGTTTGGTATTTTGAAAAAAAAAACGTCACAGACATGTTTTATATATGTATGGCCCTACAATATATTTTTCAAATATAGCATGATAGGTCCACTTTAAAGGATACATTTGCCTTAATCACAAAAACACTGAATTGTTCCCTTACCTCTCGATGAAATGTAGGCAAGTGGAATTTAGTATGTTTTGTGCATTTCAGTTACCTTAGACCTAGCTGTCAACAGATAAAAAGTAAAGAAAAACTGTTGACATGAAGCTTTCAACTTTCAAATAAAGAAACAGTCCAGAAAATGAGGTGCATGAACAAGAAGAGAAAAGGTCTTGGATGATTCAGAAGAACTGACCCTTAGTGTAGATGAGTCTTCTATCCAACACACCACTTCACACTTGCACTAGTGTGTTTCACTTGGAACTTCCCTCTGAGTTCACTGAGGCCACATCGCCTATACTGAGAGATCATTAATGTGCCAGTCCCTCATTCTCAGTTTGAGCATTTTCTGAAACAAAATATTGTTCATAACATTATTTCACAGATGGCGCTAGTTTTCACAATGGTTTAAAAATACATTTGCAAAACACTGGCCATTGCAATAATGAAATCCTACTGGAACAGAAGCAGCGGAACAATATTTCTCATGACTGAATTGTTTTGAATACGATTGTTATTTTAAGCATTTTTCCTTTAACAGTCTATTCTCCAACACTTAATGTCATACTGCATTTATTCTTTGTGTTATCAGGTTTAAACTTATCACGCAATGTACAGTAAGCAGGAAAACCCCTAAAACAGTTGACCAATTAAAAATCTTATAATTTGTAATGATGGTGATTCCAATGACTTCTTTTCATCGATGTCTCTTGATTTATCTCTTTTTCATTGTGGCCCTTGATGTGTAAGGAAGCATGACTGGCTCTCATCCCAAGTTTCTCTAAGAAAACATCCAGGATACTTAACCCAATTACAAGCTCCCTGACTTTGAAACAGAGATACAGTCTATGGAGGAATCGTGATAAATCGAATTAAATACTCAGACCACAAAATACCTTGATTTGGACCGCCGTATAGATCAGTAGGTAGAGCTGCCGGCCCATATACTGGGGCTTGATTCTCATGAGGACCTGGGTTTGAATCTGGACTGCATGAGACCATCTTCTGCATGTCACCCCCTTTGTCTCCCCCTTTCATTACTTTCACTCTATAAAAGGCACTGGTTGCCCAAAAAACGACCTTGATTCAATGGGGGAAGTGGAATGCAGTGAAATTGTTCAACAACTGTGATACATTTCACTCCAATATTTCAGATCTTGCAAAAATATGAACATTACTTCTGACCCAACTGACAGTTTGTGTGCCTCACGGTTAGTTTGGAAGAGGACACATTTAAGATCAACATTTGGAACCCCACCCCCCCCTTTTTATTGTGTTTGCACGGCAAAAACGAAAAAACAAAAAATGGCCATAGTTCTAAGAATGCCCTTTTTAAGCTCTTTTTTCAGAGTAGGAACTCTCATAGCACAAAAGTAACTGTGAGTGACGTATGTAAAGGGTAAGTGGTTGAGTACACAAGCACCAGCTACCACCATTTAAAAAATACAGACGTTACCTCTTGTGAAGTCCAGAGGTTAACTCGTCTGCAACACACTACCACGGACTCAGCTCAGCAACCTAATAAGCAATGCAATTATTATCAAGCATGGGCTGGGGGGCGGGGGTGTTAGATAATTCCTCGATGCCAGTAATATTCTGCTAAGAAGTTGAACAGGCAAACAAATTATGAAATGGCAGAAACAGTAGCGTGAGGTTTTGGAGGAGGGTAACACTGCTTGTGTCTGAGCAGTCTGACCAACAGATTAGTAACTTCCTGCTGAGATCTGAGGATTGGGTGGTCACACAGAGAGAGAGAGGACTGTGTGTGGGAGAGTCTGTGAGCGTGCACTTGTGTTTATCAGTGAGAGTGATTCAGAGCGTGAGGGTATGAGCACTTAGTAAACACTTCCCGGATATTAACCATAAAGGATGCCATAAATCTTGTAAAAAGTTCAATAATACTCTACAACGCTACTTATTGTGAATCCCCCCCTTACTGTTCTTATGTTACTTTTCATTCTCAAAGTGCACATACGCAACTACAGTGGCAGATTTACCTTCCTTCTTTTTGCTACCAAGTTTTCCCCCTTGTTTTCTCCACCTGGTTCCGGCAACCAAGACATATATGTTCATAAAATAAGCGTTTTTCTTATCAATGGTATTGCCTTGCTGATGAAGCTTTATGCTAATGGTAAACTGCACCCCACTATATAACCCAGGGGTGTCAAACTAAATTTCATCGCGGGCCACATCAGCATTATGGCTGCACTCAAAGGGCCGGTTGTAACTTTAAGACTATATAAAAATACATTTATAAATATTTAATATATATAAAATAATGTATTATATCACATGATTGCCTCTGCATTGGATTATTTTCAGATACGGTAATAACTTCATAATTAACTACGTCTGAAAGCAGAAGTCTAGGGCAAATAATTGCAAGTCTCTTCAGTGTGCATGTCACAAAATGATTTAAAAAGAAGAAAAAAAAGAAGTGATATTTTGAAAAAAAGTATTATTTTGAGAAAAAGGCAAATTGTAAGAAAAAGGCAAATTGTAAGAAGAAAAGCATATTTTGAAGAAAAAAAGGCAAATTTGAGATGCATTGTGGGACATGTAGTTTATGGGCAACGTGCTTCTGTAAAGTAGCATGTAACCGTCTAATAAACATATTATATTCTTTGTAAGCTCTTGTGGGGCCACAGAAAATGAAGTCGCGGGCCGGATTTGGCCCCCGGGCCTTGAGTTTGACACCCCTGATATAACCTAGCTAGCTAGCTAGCTAGCTAACTGCTTGTTTGCTAATACCAAAATGTGTGTTTTTTGTCATGGCAATGACATGTGATGAATGAAATAGCAAAATGCTTATTTTGGTGTTAACCAACAGCGCCCATCCCCTTTATTGCTAATGTTCCATAAGAGTTGAATAAAAAACATCATTTGTTTAATCTAAATCCTGTAACAACACTAATGCCCATCACACTGACTTGAAGTTGTAATTCATTTTCAGGTCATCTTATCAATGTGCATACAGTTCTATGAGCTGCTATGGCATTGAAAATGCACTGGCACTCTGCTGTAGATTTCAAACAGCCAAGGATTTCCTCACTTCTCAGAATTAAGTCAAAAGTGTCTCTAATGGTCATTTATTGCAACCACATTCTGTCAACTGTTTTTTATTCAAATTTGCATCAACAGCTCTGGAGAGTCTGGTTTTGATCAACATTTTAGGCACTATTGCATTGTCTCATCCTTTGAAAATGTTAGGCTGTTAAATATGCAAAAAACACCATAGCATTTTCTTTATTTTAGTTTTCTTTATTTAGTTTTTAAAAACAAAAAATCTCCCATAAGAACAAAACTCTGTCCCTTCCTGGCTACCCCTCTCAGTGTGTATTTAAACCACATTGCTCTGCCATGGTGATATATTTGTGCAATCACACACAAGAAGGCCCTCAGAGGATTGGCCTCACTACCAACAATACCAGGACTCATACTGGTTCCATACAGTTTAATGGGCTGAGGAGAATGTAACCACACTGTGTATACAACCCTCTCAGAGAAAGAGGCGGGGGACTACTGAGGGGCAAATGAGAGAGAGTGCAGGGGGTAATGCACCAGGCGTGTGGGGCAGTGAACTAGTGCGTTGGTGTTCGGATCAGGGGAGCACAGGTTCAAACCCCACTGCAGTCAGCATTTCGCTGTGTCCTGGACTCCCTGGGCAAGACACTTCACCCCAAATTGCTCCTGTGGGAATTTTCCACAGTATTGAGTATGGATAAAAGCCTCTAACAAGTAACATGTAATGTAATGTAATGGGGGGATGGGAAAAATATGTGCGAATGAAAGTGAGTTTATGGGGTACAATAATATAATTAAACGACTTGCTACCCTTTCACTCATCCAAATAAGCCAAAGGTTCTTTCATATTTTTACCTTCAAGTTGTCATCTATTTCCAACATAACATTTATGAATCTGCAACAACTCAAGAGGAAATTATATTGCACATTTGCCCAAATTTCTGAAATGTAAGGCTCTCAAAGTTAATGGGGATATAACAGTAAGTGGTTTTAACGTAACACTTTTGTTTGATGCATTCATGCATGTTCTGTTATGATGACTCTTTGCCAGAAGTTGGAAGGCAATTAGCAAACAACGGCTAACGAAATAACCCAAAACAGATACATTTCACCAGACCAGGTTGATTGTAAGACCAACAAGAAAGAGTATTGGGGAGCCAATATGATGACAACATAACAGTTAAAGCCATTAGGAGATCAACAATAGTAAATTCTTATTAAATGGGCAATGTCTTCTTCTGGTATTCTCTTTGAGCAGCTGTTTTTTAGGGTATATTTGTTTACATTTGAGCTTTATTAACTCCATTTATTAATGCCGAATCAACTATGAGTTGTTCCTGTTGCAATGTATTTACAAGCATCTAGCATATACAGTATAATGACAATTTAATGACATGTCACTTAATTTGGTTGCACGTTCAGCTACTTACTGTAGTAGCTATAGCTTTGAGGGTCTTCTAGACACCTTTGCATTTTTTCCCATAAATGTCACCTGTTTCTCTAATTGTTTACGCAGGTCAACAAAATAGTGAATCAATGAATTCTACTGTCTTGAATTAATAAGGTCATTATTGCGCTACCGACTGCCACTGAATGGCATGAAAGAGTTTTTAAGTACTTAGCAGGCACAGACGCTCAACAATGGCAAATTATTTGCAGCAACTACAAAATATATTTTGGACTTATTTAGTGAAATGGGCCAATTTCCCATGGCAAACCTGACAATCTGTCACGGCACACCGGTATGCCATGGCACAGTGGTTGAAAGTCACTGACCTGAGAGCAGAATACAAATGATGTACCCTATCAACCCCTGTAATTGCTATCCCATCCAAATGGGGTTTAAAAGCGACTGCAGTCCCTCTCAGCTCTAGTTTCAGATTCCGCTAAAAGTAACTGGGTAAGTCACTACAAGCAACACCTTACACATAACACATAGTAATGTTTTTTTGATAGTATGAAGATATTGACTATATATTGCAGCTTTAAAACACAGTGCAGGATTTTTGCAGGAATTTGCAGAATATGACAATTCCCCCATATCACACACTTTTCTACAAAAAACCTCGAACTAAGGTTTCAGTTTAGATGAGACCAAGCGGGGGCGGTGTGGCAATAAAAAGCTTTTATTAACTGTGAAAGCAAAGCAGACGTTGTCCGTGGTGTTGACGATGGCACACCCTCTTCAGTGACGACTGAAACCTTCACACGGATTCAGCCTCATCAAAATGTTTATGAAAGTAGAGTAACTATATTCTTTCTCTCTCCCCTCTCTCTCAGCTCCTCCCTGGTAATTCAATCAGAGGATTAAATGTTCCAACATCAGATCTGGATTTGGACACTATTCCCTTTATTATTATGGAGATGGTTGCTTCATAAACAAAGAGAGAGGAAATTGGCGTCTCCCTGAAATGTCAAACGAGAGCACAACCACCTCATTCGCAGAAATTTAAAGAGAAGAATACATTTTGCAATACTAATATTTTTGCATGTTTGTTAAAGGATATCAAAACTGAACTGTTTAGTTTGGCGATTTCATGCAACAGCATTGTCTGACACATTTTTCATCAAGGCCACTAATGTGTAACATTGTTGTGAGCTTCATAGTAATTGCAGTTTCCTCTACGGTCATTTTATGCAATTTTAAATGCTGCAATTCAGTGGTGAAATGTATCATGTCTGGGGTTTTGTCAATACATTATGTATTAGGGAAGGCTGTGGCTCAGTGTGTTAGTGCGCTGTTCTTCGGATCAAGGGGGCACTAACCAGGGCCGCCCCTCCCTACAGGCAAATCACGCAGGCTGCATGGGGCCCCGCCTTGCGCAGGGGGCCCCGCCCAGAGGGCGTCAGCTGCTGTGCGCAGTTCTCCGCTCAGTTTTCCGCGCACCCCCCGCGAGAATGAGAGAGAGGTGACGTCTGTAACCCGACACCGTTGCAATGAATCGACATCTGACCAATCACGGCTTTGATACGGCCACTAGTGCAGGTGAAGAGATGACGGTGAAAAGACAGTTTCAGTCCGGCGCAAGCAAGAGGGGAAAAAGACAAAACATGAAGAAACTAGAGCATCACTCCAAGGTGGGTTATTGTATGAGTCAAATGTACAACTTGCGAATGTTGTATAAGTCAAATTGCCAATTGCCATATTAAAACATCAGCTGCAATTCACGACATGAAGAAGGCAGTCTCTGCATAGCATATAGGCTAATGGAGATGAAGTTATTTCCAGCATTCTTTATTTACCATTCATTCAAGTATGTTATGCCTTTTATCTGCTAATGTGCAGGAGGAAGAGTGATAAACTGTCTGTCTAGTTGGCTTACATAACAGTTAAAGTTTACAGCCTAAAAAACATGGAGCATTTTTTCCCCTTTTATTCATTTTTATGTCAATTTGCACATTTCACGGTGATGCTCAGCCTCTCCCCTTAACTCCTAACAGTCATCATCATGTCAACCACAACACAGAGAAATACTGATAGAAATGTGTGTGTAGTTGTTGATACATTGCTGACAGAGGGAACTACATTTGAATACAGATTTAAGAAATATCAGTTTTTGAGCATGTAATAAGCATGTTTTGTCTTGACTATATTACAACTATATTATAATAATATAATATAGTATTTATATTATTTAATTGATTATGATTATGATTATTAGTAGAAGTAGTTTATTTGCATTAATTATATTTTAATCTTTTTGAGGCTAGTATTTGGCAGGAAATGGAGACCTGTAAACGCATACTGAACGACATACATGCATATTTACCATTTACCTCACTGCATAAAAAAGTAACTGTTGATAATAATAATAATAAACAGGAATAATATTTGCAAAGTAGCCTACTTTGTTTCAAAAAAAAAAATGTTTCACTCCTGTCGGTCGGGGGGGTGAAACAAGGTTTGTGTTTTTCTGGGAAGTGACCTCTTAGTGTAAATACTGTCTGTCATTGCCTTGAACATGTTATCATGTTGCAAAGAATATACTACTAATGAATCTTGTCACCACCTGTAGTTTACATGCAGTTTGTGTGGTTTTCAGCTTTGTGTGCAGGGAGGACTTGCCTTAATGTAGAGGCTTTAACTTAATCAGTGTAGTGGCGATGGCCCAGGTGTCAAAATATGACTTTTACATGTGTGATGTAACTCACAATGCAGAGAATCCTGCCAACAGCTGGATTCTGTTAGGAAGTGCTGAGTGAGCATTGCACTTTGGGACTGATCTGAGAGATGAACTGGTGTCAAACACAAAACAACCTCAGCCTCGTACCTGTCTGTGCAATCACGTTCAACACCCATCAAAACTGTCTTTAACCTTGAGTCCACGCTTCATTACATTCTCTGTTTTGGTTTTCTTCACTCCATGAATGAACTTCAGGAAGATGACTGTAAATTAACTCCAAATACTGTTTTCGTATAAGGTTGACACCTATTTGTTTTTTTCCTGCTTACAAAAGTTCTACTTATCTCTACATCACGAGATGCACAAAACAGAAATACATCCACAGTGATGCAAAGCCTGTTCTCGTAATGATAGGAAAATTGTTAGAGCAGTAGGCTGAAGGCCAGCCACTGTTAAACTGCTTTATTAAAAACAATAGACATCTTGCTGGAACGTGATCTAAAGTGCATTGAGGCCATTGGGAGCTGTTAGACGCTCGAGGGTTTTAGGTTGCCATAAGGCAACGGTGTTATTAGGCTACATCCATTGGTTGGTTTTGTGGCACATTTGTAACGCTGTGCCAACTTGGGCAAGCACGCAGGCAAACTTTAGGAGCGCACACAGGGTGGAGAGGTGGAGTGAGGTTGAGCGATGGAGAGAAAGGGAGAGAGAGAGAGACTGAGCGAGGCAGAGAGTGTGCAGTGCAGCGGTCTGCTTGCGCACAGAGCAGGAGTTTGTGAGATAGAAAAAAAAAACAGTCTCGCGCGCAGCCTTTCATTCAGAATTTCATTCAGAATTTCATAGCAAAATAAAAAAATGATATTAAACTAATCTTTCAACATAGTTTAAAACAAAAATAAATATTAGGACAAAGCACTACAAATAACAACAATAAACATTATAATAAAACAATTAAAATGTTGTATTCAGCCCTGATTAAAACAGCAGGCCCAAATCCTGGATGGGCGGGNGACCCCAATCTAGCTAGAAGGCCAGAGAGAAGTAGTGTGTCTTCAGTGTGGATTTAAAAGCCCCTAGGGTCTGGGCCGACCTCACATGGAGGGGAAGAGTGTTCCAGAGCCTGGGGCCAGCTGCTGCGAAGGCTCGGTGCCCTCTGGTTTTGAGCTTGGTCTTAGGCACAACCAGCAGCAGCTGGTCAGCCGACCTTAATGCTCTGGCTGGGGTGTAGCGATGGAGGAGTTCTGCTATATAGGCCGGAGCCAGCCCATTTAGGGCTTTGAAAACAATGCGGAACCGAATTCGAAGCCAGTGCAATGAGGCCAGAATTGGGGTGATGTGGTCACGCTTTTTGTGGCCAGTGAGAAGACGTGCATCGGAAACACCTTTAAGCAAAAAACTGAACAAGGTATCGCCCGTTTTCCAAATATTTGCCATCTGGTTTCAGTGTTGATTTACCCTTTAAAAAATACATTTACTGATTCATACATACATACTGTAGG